GAGGGTGCCGATACCACAGACGACGCAGAAGAGCGAGAAGCCCGTCTTGATGTCTTCAATGGTCATAAAGGGTCCGGCCATCGCGGTCAAAAGCTGAAATTGAATTGTGCGCCGTTCGAGCCAAGGGTCAATTCGCGACGTTTGCTCACCGCTGGAATCCGCGCCTGCAAATCCAATGCAGAGCCGGCGTCACTTTCTCAGACCCCGAGGGTGGGACACGTCGGCGTCCCACTGTCTTTACCTTATCATACGTTTTGCACTTCGTGTACCTCGTTGCACACTATTTCATTGCGATAACGTGGAGCATACACATATCAAGAGAAATGGCCCGCGAGATGCCACGAGAAGACGAACGCATTTATTCGGAAATAGTGTATGTAATCACCAGAAGCGTCCCCAGATGCTGCCTTATCCCAGGTGCGACGGCACCCAGATGGGTATTTAGGGTAAGGCGATTGCACAAACGGGTCGGCGAGCGCTCGAGCGCCAATAGATCGACTTGATTGCAAATGTTTGGTCCATTTGAAAGCGGTAAATTAGTCGATTAGTAGCGCTACAACGACTGAAACGTCGCTTGAAGGTACCCACAGCATCGCAGGATCAAAGCCGCAGGAATATGCACGCGGACGACAAACCCGCAGCACCAGAGCTCGCAGCACCTTGACAACCATCAAGGTGGTCGATGACGGACGCCGCAAGCGAATCAACAATACTTGTGTGGTTCGATCATCGTACGTCGAGAAGACGCGCCCAAGTGACAAGGGGCGGCGTGGCCATGCAACCGAGACTATTGCCCTTGAAGGCAGAGACGTACTCACGCGATTTCGCCTACCACAGGGTTCTCGTACGCGCAAATCTGAGTTTGCGAGTAGCTTTCGTTTTCAACGCCCACGGCCGCTCGGCCTCATCTCTGCTGCGATGCACAGCAGGCAAGCAGTCCCTCGGACCCGAAAGAACCCACCCACATGCCGACAACCCATGTTCGATGCCGATGATGCGTGTGCCTGTAGAGTAATCTGAGGAACACCTTTCCAAGAGACTATGCATCAGCTTGGATGCGTTGTACATTTGGGTCCTACCAGGCCTAAGCATACAAACTGCAGAGCTCCGTGGTCGTCGTGCTCTTCCGGATCGTGATCCCCGAACAGCAGAAGCTCCGAGCGCACAGCCACCTTGGAAGGATTATCTTGGTAGGGTTAGGGAAGGCACAGGAACGTGCCACGTCATCGCAGAGTGCTACGCGATCATGAGCCGACAAACGAGCCTGGTGAATTAGCTTCACGTCAACGGCCCCCACCGATGCATTTCTGATGTGTATCTTCATGGTCGAGGCAAATACGCCCTTTCGATTCGACTCAGGGTCACGATCATCAAAACCAAAATGCGACTGGGGCAACTCTATGCGTCAGGAAGGAAAAGGGTTGTCCGAAGGGGGCACCCAGGGGTGACGGGTGGTACAGACTCCCGTGGGCGCTGCCTCCACGACAAATGTCATATTACTACTACTTAAAACATCACAACACTATACTGCAAGCACCTAGTGCTTGGTGCTGTAGTACGTCGTGTTGGTGTAGACCATCTTTTGGTACTCGGCCGGGCAGTACGGGAAGTGGATCGTCGGGTCGGCCGGCGACGGCGTGAAGAGCGCCTTGCCCGTCTGGATCGAGACGTAGACGGCAAGGAACGAGATGACAATGAGGATGAAGATGCTCGCAATCTTCTCGAAGAGGCCCATCGTCTTGTGGAACGCCTTCATGTTGAAGACGACCGGAAGGATCATGCAGCCGAGCGCGGTCGACGAGGCGCCGACAAAGTTGAGCAGGTCGTTAAAGTGGTCCTTCCAGATGATCGCAATGACCGTGCAGATGGACACTTGGCAAAAGCGCATGATGCACGCTTTGAGGTAGTCGCGGCTGGACGCGTACATGGGAGCCGCGCTCGCGTCGTCGGGCTTGCCGGTCTCGAGCGCAACGTCGTCCTTCATGACCGGGGTTTCCAAGTCCTCAAAGCCCGACTGGCGCGCCTCGAGCGTAAACTGCTCCTTGTGGAAGCCAAAGATGATGCGCTCGAAAATGTAAAACGTCGGGAAGAGAATGACAGCAAACGCGATCGTGCAGTGGAGCTGCATGAAGAGGAAGGCGAGGACGATGCCGCCGCGGGGCGCTTCGAACCCGAGCTTGGTGCCCGTGATGGCAAAGAGGAGGTTGCCGGGAATCTGGCAGCCGACGTTGTGGACACCGGCAAACGAAATGGCCAAGAAGAGCACCGAGCAAAAGCCGAGAGTCACCAAGATAACGCGCGGCATGCGCTCCGGCTGCGTATGTTCGCGCTGCAGGGCCGGGATGACGACACCGGCCGAGTAGCCGAGCGAGAGGTTGCCAAAGACGGACGTGATACCGTCAAACGAAAGCGCGGGCTTGGGCGTGGCAAGGCCCGCGGGGATGTTGTCCATGCTGCTGAGAAGCACGTAGAGCGCGACAAAGTCGGCGAGAAGCGTGCCAAGCGCACCGGCGGCGGCCGTACCGGCGCTCTCCTTGAGCGACGGCATCATGCAGATGGGCAGCAGCGTGATGGCCATGAGGATGATCCACGTCTCGGGCGAAAACGTCTCGGGGAAGAGCACGTCGAGGAGCGAGCCGCCGAGGACAAGGAACGCAATCGGTACCATGCAGCACACGAGGAGCTGCGAGAGCGTCGTGATGTAGCGACCCGGCTTGCCGTAGAGCCACTCGCCAATATCGCCATACGTGCGCACGTACTTGGGCGCCGCGAGCATGACCTTGGAGACGCAGACGGTCGAGTAGAGGTTGATGGCCGCCATGAGCAAGAGCGCGGCGGTCGCCCAGTAGTAGCCAGCGCGGGCGTAGTTGGCCGGCATGCCGAGCGTACCGATGCCATAGACAACACAGTAGAGGTTGAAGCAGAGCTTGAGATCTTCGAGCGTCAGAAACGCCATGCTGAGATGGTGTCGAATTGGAAAATGCAAAGTGGCTCAAGTGACGGGAAGCCCGCCACCCGTTCGAGGCGCCAAAGACGGTTTCGGTCCCACTCGTTCTTCCGGCGCCTCGAGACCACCAGCTGGTGCGAGCGTAGCCAACGGGGAGGCTGGACAGGCGGGCTGCTATGTCACTTGAGCTTTGGTCGAGTGACACCCAAGAATGCTGCCTTGCCGTTGGTGGAAATCTATAAAACCTAGTTGACATGTCCCGCACAAGGTCCAAGCATTCGGAGCACACAAAGCGTCTGGAGCCTCAACACGCCTCTCACGACGCAGATATCGTGTTACCTGGCGCTGTCTCGGCGCGACGACGATGTGGCAGCGTTGCGCCGCCTCGTGTTTCACGGCCAAATTTGTCATCTTACGATCCTGGATCTTGTTCGATTTGGGGAGCGGTAAGCTGCAGACGTGCGACGGGTCGTCATTTTCTGCACCACTTTAAAGCAAAGATACTTACTCGAGCGTGGCACAACAGCAGAGCGTCCCACGCTGCCACGAGTCGGGCGCGCAGTACACGATGCCAGGAAAATGCCGATCTTTCGACCGTAAAGTGCAAAGTCAGCGATGCGAGCGAGGTTCGAAGCGGATACCAACTGCATCTCGACCAACGACACGGGCAGGTGGCAACATGGACCGGAACCGCTAGCTTTGGCTGCAACTTGGATGGGTACGCAACGCATTTACCGCTCTCCATGGAGCCCGATCCCTACGCCGGGATGCGGTAAAGCAGTGCGTTATCGACGGAGGCTGTTTACTATCCTGCGTACCACCGCATTGGAAAGCGTTTCTGATTGAAATCTGATCGAGACCGTCACAGCTGCGCTCGTCTTCTCGGAAATCAGTGATGATCACCAAGATCTTAGTGTGTATGTGGCGGCTGCGAGGATAAGAAAGCGCTAAGATGTTGCCTTGATTCTTGAGGAAGCAAGTCGACAGATCTTGCCCTTTACCGTGCGAGTCCAACACTGCCTTTGGGGATGATCGAAATGGACGCACTTCAACAAGCGCGCCGCCTTTCGATTCCTACCCACTAATAGTACCTAGTACTACGCTAGAGGTTAGTGAGCACTGCGACGAAGATTTGCGGCACGTATGAGGAGGGATTACCGACTTGCAAGCGAGAGCGGTTGCAATTTGTCGCTGCAAAGATCCTCCCAACAGTGGAAGCTACTACACCTGAAAGGCGAATAGACGTCTGGTTGAGTCGACAGAGGACTTCCATGGAGCTCGACGAGCCGGTTGCAGTTGCACCGTACACTGGGTGTCCGTCCTCGCACTCGAATACGCCTGCCCACCACCAGTGAGCACCTCGGTGGCAACGTTCAGCACTGGTAACTGCATCGATGGAGTGGACCCAGCGCGGTGACGGTGCTTGGCCAACTGATATGTGCGAAGCCAGCCAGCGATTAGCACCACAGGCATTTGTCGGTGCGTCGGCCTTCTCTCCGCTATTGTGAGCAAAGGGCAATTGAAACCTAGCATACGTGGCAGCCATGGCCTCGACGTTCGTGTTGAAGAGCCAGCCGCTCATCGAGTACAGTAGTCATTCGGTGCAGTCTGCCTCGTGCGGCACGCCTCGGCGTCCCCACCCTGGTGCCTTACAGCATTCAACTATATAGGAGGACTCAAGTGGAGGCAGGCGAGAACGGCTTGAACGACTCTATGCATGATCTGCCGTTTGCGTCGATGCCGGCAACTCCATGCTTGCACGATCGTCTTTGGATGCGGACAAGCCGAGCATACCTCACATCTCTCACCTTCTGACGCACCTCCACGCTCGGGTAACTGGGTGGAACAGGACACGAGGAAATATTCGCTTGTAAAGGCTATGTGAGCTCGAGATGGGAGAGGCGGCGGTACCGACGCAGCTCCTCAGCACGTTCTATGGCTCGTCGAATACAGCGACGCGGCCGCGACCATGACCCTGCAGAAGATCAAGTGAGGCTTCGTCTTCTTCCTTTGCTGTGCAAACCACCACCATCATGCTCATTAAACGAACAAATTCCGTTCAAAATGTGGGACGTCATGATTACCCCGCAAATTTATAGTTGTCCATCGTGTCGATATTGTACCCGCGGAGCTTGAGCTCGACAATCGTATCGCGAAACATAGTTGCGAGTGCCTTGGTGCTATAGTGGTAGTCGTGGGCGAGCACGACGACGCCGAGCCGGCGCGCGCCATCCTTGTTGGGTCCATCAAAATTGTGTTCGACCGCTTGGACAATGCGGCACTTTTCAGCGTCGAGGTCGCGCATGTGGTCCTTGTCCCAGCGCCAATCGATGTCCCAGCCAAAGACGGCCCACGGTTTGCCCTGGAACGTCTCGTTCTTGCACGCAAGATGGCTGCCGCCCACGAGTTGGTCGGCAATACCGGTGCGCAGCGTCTGCTCGGCGCCCGACTCGGCGCCGTAGAGCGACCACTTGTAGTTTTTACCTGGCACACGCCACACGTTCGTGCACGGCAGCCGTGCGAGGCTCCAGATATTCGAGAGTTGGCGCGCATACTGCGCCAGCTCTTCCTTCGTGTCCCACAGTGTGTCGTTGGCCCACGCCTCTTGAAAGTGCAGCGCGCCACGTACAAAGTCCGAGGTCGCGTCGCTGCCACACGACGCGTACTTGTCAGCGATCTTGGTGAGCGCTGCCATCTTGGCGTACTCGCATTTCGTCGACGCCTCGTCGTAAAAGTGCGTGTCCGAGTGCGACGCGAGCACGTGCCCTTTCTTGATCGTCCAGACGGAGAGCTCGGTGATCTTGGGCTTGGCCTCGGGCTTGCACTGCAGCGTGAGCTCATATTTGGTCTCGGGCCCGCAAAAGTTGTAGCCCGACTCGAAGAACGTGACCTTGAACGGCGTTTGGTCGAGCGCCTCGAGGAGGTTTTGCCGACCGACCACCGATGGCCCGTCATCCATGGTCATGTACACGGTCTCGCCGGCCTTGACTTGACGCCCTCGCGGACACGAGATGGCCGTCGGCACCGGCGACAGAGGCGTGTACGGCGGCAGCTTGATGTTGCCAGGGACCCGTGGTGGCAACGTTGTCGGCGGTGGTGTCGTCGGTGGTGGCACCGTCGTCGGTGGCGGTATCGTGCTCGGGACGGGTGTTGTCGCGGGTGAAGGCGCCGGCGATGGGATGCCCACGCGGTCGTAGACGTCGAGCGCGACGGCGACGACGTGCCATGCAAGCGCGAGGCCAAACATCGCCGGCGGAATCACAGCAGATGTCGCTCGCAACTCGCGCCAGGTACCCAATTAGGACTTTCTAGGGCAAAGTCAGGCCAGAACCAGGATTCCAAGCGACGACCATGTGCAGCAGGTCCTTCCTCAAACATTTATACCGCGACCACAAATATATTTAAATATCAATAAATACTCTAGTAATTGTATGCAGTGATAGGCATGACGACGACATTTCGAAGCATGTGATTCCATACGCCCAGCGCTGACGTGGCGCGAGTAATGCTGGCGAGAGTGGCCACACGTGGCACGTGGATAGGCAGAGATGGTATCCTGTCCGAATCTCATTGGCGTCTGGCTGGGCCCGAGCTTTCTCGTAGCTCGCATGGCGACGGGCCCGAGGCCCGAGCACGCAAAAGCCATCGATCGACATCATACACATCGATCTTTACACTTTTAGGCGATCGATCGTGTCCATGGCGTACCCCCGTAGCTTCAACTCGACGAGGAGGTCACGGAACATGGCAGCATTCTCAGGCGTGTTGTAGTGATAATCGTGGCCGAGCACAACGACCGCTTGACCCCGGCGCGGGTCGCGGCCAGTCCGGCTGAACTCGTGCTCGATCACTTGGACCATCCGGCACATCTCGGCGTGGGTGTCCTTGAGCTCTTTCCACGCCCACTCGACGTCCCACCCGGTCGTGAACCACGGCTTGCCCATGAATGCCTCGGGCTTGCACTTGTTGGTGCCGGTTGCAATTGCATCGGCAACGCCGATCCGCGCCGCCTTCTCGGCCGCTGACGTCTCGTGGCCCCAGCCTATGTCAAACTTGTAGTCGCCCGCCATGCGCCACACGTTGGAGCACGGCAGCCGCGCGTACGTCCACATATTGGCGACTTGCTTGGCGTACGCTGCCTTCTCGTCGGTGCTTTCCCAGAGCGCGTCGTCGGCGAGCGCCATGGTTTCTTGGAAGCGCAGCGCGCCCCGTACAATGTCGGCGGTCGCGTCACGGCCACACGATGCGTACTGCGGCGGCACGTTGGTCATCTCGCTCATCTTGATATAGGCGCAGTAACCCGTGCTCCGGTCGTACAGGTGCGAGTCCGAATGCGCGGCGAGCATGTGGCCCTGCTTGATGGTCCACGCCCAGAGCTCGATGGCCGGCAACTTGGCCGCGTCGTCGCAGTCGAGCACGAGGCCGCTCGTTTGCGGACAAATGTTGTACGCGCTTTCGTAAAAGGTGATTTTCTCGGAAATGTGGCTGAGCGCTTGGAGGAGGTACTTGCGGCTGCCAATGCTCGGGCCGTCGTCGAGCGTCATGTACACCGTGTCGCCGGCCTTGACCTTGCGGCCCGCCGGACACGAGATGGTCGACGGCAGCGGCTTGGCGGGCGGCGACGGTGGCAGCTTGGCTAGGCCCACGAGCTTCTTGAGCACTGGGACGATCGTTTTGTTTGTGGCATTCGTCGGCGCGGACGTCGGGGCAACGACGACGGCCGGCGGTGCCGACGGCGCCGGTGTCGCCTCCAGTGTGTTGACGGGACTCGACGACGGCGACGTGAGCGTCCAGATCGCAATCGCAGCGTTCCACAAGACGAGGCTGCCGAACATGGTGACGGTAGGGACTGCCGTTCGCAGTGGAGATGAAAATTTGAACTATAGCCGTTGGATTGTACTAGAGGCTTGCATCAATGGCCCTTGAGACCGGGCATCCTGCCAGATGGATAAGCGTTGCATACACGCCAAAATGGTCGCCGGTTCGATCCTCTTCGACTGCACGACCAGTCAATTAAGCCAAGGGCACACTGCAACCTCGAAATGCACCGACCCGATCGACAGTAGCGGGCACTTCGCAGCGTCGTTATTGCCCTTGTGGTGCTATCTTCTGTGGCGACGCGGACTGCTGATCCCTATCGTGGGTATGGCAAGTCCTCGATCACATGGAGAGTGGTCGGATTGCGCGTCCCCTGCGAAACGTTGACGCCGGCGTTCCTGAGTACGCTCGAGTGGTCATGTCGTCAAGTCGAAATTTGTATCGAGACATGTTAGCTCCTTGGGACGAACAACGTCCTGCGAGCGCTTCTTCTATGGGCATGGCTTGAACACCACGGTACAATCGCGCTCCAACGAACCCGCTAGGAATGCGTATGGCAGGCCTGCGCGCGCAATGGCGCTCTGAGCTTCGATGGGCAACGTTCAGTGCGGGCTTGCCCTCGTCTTGTGGTTTGCCATGTATGTCGTCAACGCTCGTAGAGTAGTCAGGCGATTAACCCTTACCCGGACAACCGGTTCAACGCTTCCTATTAATACCAGCTGCCATGACCGCCAAGGCGTACGTCGATGGCCTCCTCCGCGACGCCTGCGCCAACGTCGTTGCTCGCGTCGCGGACGACCGACCGTCGATCCCCGAGCCCCCCGACGACGATGACAACGCTCCGAACGAGATGGACGCGTCACCGGACGAGGAATTTGTCCCTTGTTGGCAGCAGGAGCGAGACGAGACCGATGCGGACGACCCATGTGTCGGGTGGTCCACGTGCGAGGTGGCCCATGACGTGGCGACGGCTTTTGTCGATGCAATACTGGCGTCAGAGCAGCTCTACCTCCGAGCCAGCCCCGAACGTTGTGAGGAGCTAGAGCCTCTTCTAGACCCACCGACCCTGCAGGAATTGCGTGCTCCAAACGACGAGCCTCCCAGTAGTGGCCCGATCGACGAGCCGTGTGCTGAAATCGAACCACCCACCACAACACCCACGGTCACGGACGACGCTGTTCCTGCGATGCAAGCATCTTCATCCGAGAGCGGTTCCGCCACTGCAAGAGACGTCACCACTGCTCCGTTGCCAGTCCAAGCACCGTCACCCGTGCAAGTATCGTCACCGCTCAAAGCTCCGAAAGCTATTCACAAGGCGGGTCGGCCGTACCCCGTGGCCCCTTCGACGACCAAGCCAGCGACTACGTACGTGCAGGCTTGACATGGAGCGACCCTGACAATCGTGTACGTAGGCGGACAAAGCGACCGATGCCGCCGTCCATCGGACTCAAGCAACTCACGCCACCCCCCTCCTTTGCGTCGCTGGACATCTACCCCCAAGTGCTCACCGACGTCTCAATCTTCCCCGCGAGTCCGCGCAACGACAACCAGCCCGACGCCTTCGCATCCGCGTGCACCAAGCCGCCGTCGATGGCCAAGAGCTCACCAAAGAAGCTCGACCCGATCGTCTTCCGCGGCGGCAAGTACAAGGCGTACTTTGCCTCTGGTCGCAGCGACGCGTCTCCTCGGGCCCGGCGTCTCAAGGCCGACGCCATTGTTACGACAACGCGTCACCACGACGGGTCGCCCGGGCCCCACCACCAAGTGTCGGGGTTTTGCCGGCAGTGCCTCCTCTACGGCGACATGCGCAAGCTCGCCGAGTGCAGCGAACACAACTATTTCCCGCCCAAGTCGATCGCGTAGACGACAATGTGTACATCAACAGAAGATAGTATGCTAAATATCAAGCAACGTCGTACAAGCCAGCGACCTCAAGCTCGCGGATGCGGCGGCGGTCCGCGTCCAGAACGGTCGCGTCCGCATGGATGAGGAGGATGCTGCCGGGCGTCGTAAACATATCGATGGTTGGCTTGAGGCGGTCGCCGGGCTTGAGCAAGAGGTCTTTGCGCAGAAACGATGGCATGGCCGTGATTTCCTTGAGGCCCGGGTACCCCTGGAGGACGCCTTCGACGTACGAGACGAGCATGACCTCGCAGCCATACTGCGGCAGCGCCAGCGGCTACAAAAGACACCCAAAATCAATCTCAATCTCAAAAAACAAAACACCAGTACCCGCTCGGGCAGCGCGTCAAAGACACTGTGGCGACCGAGGTACACGTCGACCGTCACGTCAACCTGGTTGTAGCCGACGCACGTGTCGGCGATCGGGACCCACGCGCCTTCGCCGCCATGGCAGCGCGCGCCAACCTCGATCAGCACGGGCGAGCCGCGGCAAAACTTGACTTCGCCGTGGCCCGGCCCGTGCTCAAACCCAAGCGCGTCGAGGACTGTAAACTGATAGTCGATGAGCGCGTCGACAAGGCCGGGCGTCGCGGGCACGATCGAGAGGCCAAAGTACACAAAGGCGGCGTCGTTCACGCGGCGCTTGTCGTACTTCCAGATGGCCGTCACCTTGTGCTTGCCGTTGCACGACACAGTGTCGATCACGTACTCGTCGCCTTCGAGAAACTCTTGGACGAGCACGGCTTCGTTCGTGAGGCCGAGGCCGTTGATCTTGCCGAGGATCGTGTGGAACGTGTCTTTTGCTTCGTCGAGCGAGAGACAGAGCGTGACATCTTCCGTGCCCGCGCTGTTGACGGGCTTGAGCACCACCTCAAACGTCTCCATCGCCAAGCGATCGATAAACGCTTTTACTTGCGCCCACGTCGTGCACTTGGCTTGCTGTACGGCGCGGACACCGGCGTCTCGGAGCGTCTCGCCCATGAGGTACTTGTCCCGGCGCGCCAGCGTGTGCTCCATCTTGTTGCGCGTCAAGTTGAGGAGCGTCCCGAGCTCGTCCGCGAGGAGGACGCCCGTCTCGGCGCCAGGAAGCACCGCGATGATGTTGGCCCGTCGGTGCTCGATTGCATCGGCGACGCGCTGCAAAAGCACCGACGTCGAGCTTGCGTCGCCCGTGTGCTCGGCCGTCGCCGCAAACTGCAGCGTGAGTCCATCTGGCACCAGACTCGCAACACCTTCCATCTTGTCGAGCCGGTCGCTGTACAGGCAGATGCACGCATAGCCGCGGCGGGTCACACGCTCGGCGACCACCGCGCCCGTCGAGAACGGGTCGACGACAACGACCACCTATCCAATATGGCTTCGGCCACCACGACCCAAAGAGATACGACGGAGCTACCTCGAGCGGGTCTAGGACCGGACACGACGGCTCGATCGCGTACAAACCGTCGTGCTCCAGCGCACGGATGCGTGCATAGTCCGCCTCCAAAATGTCCTTGGAGGCGTGGACGAGCAAGATGCTGCCCGGCGTGTCAAACATGTCGCGCGTCGGCACGACGCGGTCGCCCACTTTGGCGTGAAAGCTACTGGAGACATACGAGCCCAGTCGCGTAATCTCGTCGAGGCCCGGCAGCGCCGTGAGCGTGCCATGCTCGTAGGCCACGAGCATGGCCTCGCAGCCGTGTGCGCGCAACGTCGCGGGCACGACCGGGAGCGCGTCAAACGCCGGCTTGTCAAAGTACGCGTCGAGCGTCACGCCGACTTGGTTGTAGCCAATGCACGGCGTCACGATCGGGATGTACGTGCCTTCGCCGCCATGGCAGCGCGCGCCAATCTCGACGAGGCACGGCTCACCGTGGACAAACTTGACTTCGGCGTGTCCCGGGCCGATGCGGATCTCGAGCGCATCAAGGACCTGCAAAATGTACGCAATGAGGCGCTGCGCCACGTCGCTCGACGCGTCGCGCAAGAGGACGCCATAGTAGACAAACGGCGCGCCATTGACCGGCCGCTTGTCGTACTCCCAGACCGCCACGACCTTGTGCACACCGTCGCGCGAGACGGTATCCACGACGTACTCGGTGCCGACGAGGTACTCTTGGACGAGCGTTGCTGTGTTTGCGAGGCCGAGGTGGTTGATCTTGCCCTGGATGTTGCCAAACGCGGCGCGGACCTCGTCCATGGACCGGCACAGCGTCACGTCGTCGCTGCCCGCGCTCTCGACGGGCTTGACAATCACCTACGACCGCATCTCGATCAGAGGCAACGTGAAGGTTGAAGAGGTACCTCGAACGGATCCGGGCGCAAGTCGTTTTCGAGAAACGCCACAATCTCATTCCACGTCGTCGCCGAACACTGCTTGACCGCGCGCAACTTGGCCGCTCGGATCTTCTCGCCCATGAGGTACTTGTTGCGCCGCGCTTCCGTGCCTTTGGCGCCGTTGGAAGCCAGTCCCATGCGATCCGAGAGACGGTCGGCGAGGCACACGCCTGTCTCGGCGCCGGGCAGGACGCCCAGAATCGGGACGCCCACCTTCTTCAAGGCCGCGATCGTAGCCTCGAGCGCCGCGTCCGACTTGTCGGCGCCTACATAGAGTATCGTTGGCCACAAGAGTAGAGAGGGTATGCGTCGCTACCGTTGTGGTAGATTTCGGTCGTAAACTGCTGCCGCACGTCGGCGCGAATGTGCTGGATGAGCGGCTTCATGACGACAAGCGTGTCGCTGTAGAGCGCAATGCACGTGTACTCGCGCTTCATGACCTCTTCCGCGAGCACCATGCCCGTCGAGAACGGGTCGACAACGACGATTGCGTGGCTGCCGCTATCCAGCTCTGGGATCGCAGAGAGGCCGAGGCTCTGCGCATCGCGCTCTTCCTTGGCATTGAAGTAGCGCTTGTGCAAGACGTCGCGGACCGCATCTTGGGTCTGGCGCATGCGCGGGTCAAAGGTTGCAGCGCGGCTGAGCTTCTTAAAGTCGGCGTGCGGGTGCGGGTGGTGCGGCAGCGGAATGCTCTTCCGCGGCAAGTGGATGCGCTCGTCAAAGGTCACGGCGCGCTGGTCGGCGCTAAGGAGGCGGAAGGACGACGGCGCGCGCGGGCTCGGCGCCGGCGACGCGCTGCTCTCGGTGGCGGCGACCGTCGGCGACGCGGCCGCAGAGTTGCTGTTGCCCATGGCGTTGGCGGAATATTCGCAAATGGAGATCCGCCAACGTTGTGCGCAAGGAAATTTCGAAACGATCCACGGTTCAACCACACGACATTTTTCTCGTTTTCACGTCTTTAACGTATTGTTTGTATGCAACATTTAATATTTACAATATTATGTTGAGTTTAGAAAAGATCCAAGGTTTTTTAAAGTGTCTTTTAATCGAGAAAAAGACACGGCAAATTGGAGGACCGGTTTCAGCGGCGTGGCTCTTGTAACGGTTGGATCCACGTACTAGCGACGAACTAGAAGGGACTGACTAACTAATTACACGCTAGGAGCGAGTCGACTACGTTTTTTGCGTCCAAGGGCAGGGAAACAGAAAGAGCGGGCGACGACCACGACTTCAACATCGCGCGCTGGTCCCAAGCCAAAGATTCCGCCAGTGGCTTAGCTCTCGGGAGTATACTTGGAGGGATGGGGTAGCCAAGATACGAGCGAACGCTGGAGGTCGTCGTGTGGATGGCGCATGCTTCTCAGACCCGCAGCGGCGTCGAGTGCCGCAGTATCTTGACCGTGGCACGACTGGACGTGCGATCGTGGCCATCACTTCAACTTGGTTCCTCTATCCTTTTATAGACTAGTCCATTCATTCTGAGAGGATAAAAATCGAACCCGCGTTCTTTTTTTTGGCGTCGTTGTTCGTGGATGCTGTGCTGTCGAATATGCAGGACGGAAGAAGACCAAGTTGACGCCGAGCTGCACGGTGGGAAGAACAGCCAGCAACGACCAGAGCTGCATACGATGTATGTGTACTTGGTTATTCATCGTGGGCAAAGGTGAGAGCTCGTATGGCTTACTCGCCGTCCTTCCCAGACAAGTTGGAGATGATGGCGATGAGCGTATCCGCGATGAAGCGCGGGAGGCGACGGTGCAGCAGCTTGCGCCACACAACTATCAAGTTGATACACACGTGAATATATCAAGTGCCGCGCGTACAGGTCAAGAAGAGCGACACGAGGAGCATGCGCACGTAGCGCAGCTGGAGCCACTGCGTCGCGCTCGTCCACGTCTGCAGCACTAACACACACGCTTGGTCGCGCGATTCGAGGTGCGCACGTACCAAGTTCTTCGGCGCGAAAGACCACTGAGCGCTCGACAATCGCCTGGAGCTGGTAGTGCTTCTCACGCAAAAGCGCGAGCTCCAACTACACGGCACAATGCGTATACGCATTGTCGAGACGAACGCACCTTGTGTTCGTGCACTTGGGCTTCGCTCGCCTTGAGCGCCTCGGTGGTGTGCGTTCGGACAAGGTCCAGCTGCCGCAGCTCGCGGGAGAAATGAGCATTCTACATCGCTTCAGCCCATTGCAGTGTGCCATCTCGCCGCGCTACCGTGTCGTGCGTGAGCGTGTTGACAGCGTCAGCCAGCGCCTCGTGGTCGACCACCTGCGTCTGGAGCTTGGTCTTGATCGCATCGAGCTCCTGCGCAAAGGCCGGGAGCCGGTCCATGAGCGGCGGCGGCGTCGCGGGCGCCACTTCCGACGTCGCGCGACGCAAGCTCGGGCTCCGGCGCCAATTGTCCACCTATGGGCGCATTAGCCGTCGGCGATGCCAGCCGCATACGAGGTCGTCGAGCGTCTTGATGTACTGCTGCATGGCCTGCTCCTTGCTGAGGTCGCCAAGCGCCTGCCACTTTTCCCTGCGCACCATGGCACCTCGAGCAAAATGCGTCATGTCGACTACGTACCACGCCGCCAGCTCCAGCGTGTCGGTCGGCGCCTCGGTCGTGCACGCGCCGATCGTCGCTTGCTGGAAGAGCGCGTCCAAGGCGATGCGAACGGGCGACGCAGCATTCTTGAGAATGCCATGCGGCCCTACGCCGCCAGGATGGGTCATGCATCGTCGCCGCTGCTGCTGTACCTTGGTACGTCTGGAGGAAGAGGACGGCGGACGAGAAGTCCGACTCGAGCGACTGGCGCATCTTGACGACGGACGTCAGCGACCGCTTTGGCTGGAACGGCGACAGCAGCATATCTCTACCTGGCAGACGCGGCCCGGCCTCGCGACCTGTTACGTCAACAAATAAACCTCTTACATTCGATACTTGTATGCGTTTCAAGAGGTTTCTCGCCTGACATCTTGAAGTTAGCTTTTTGTATCGGCCCTTCAACCTCGTGCAGCCGCCGGAATGCACAAGTACGTCGCGCTCGGCTCGGACGTGTATAAACTAACCACAGTAGAAACCATAATGCCACAAACCTATATCATGTTGATGGATAAATTGGTATAATTCAACATTCGCAACAATTATACAAAAATGAGCGTTGATTTGTGCACTTATGACGTTGAGCTGCTTAATTTGCGACGCCGTTGGCCTTCTTGGCAGTCTTCTTCTTGGTCACCTTCTTCGCCTTGGGCTGGGGCTCGGCGTCCAATGTCTCGGCGGCATGCTGCACTGACGCGTCCACGTCGACAACGGGCTCGGCTACGATGGTCCCGGGAACGTCGGCGACGCTCGTCTTGGGTGCTTCGTCGACGACCGTGGGCGCGTCTGGAACGACAGCGCCGGCAAGCGCCGGTACCTCGGCCGTCGCTTGGACCTCGGGCTCCACGGGCGCTGCTTCAGCGACCGCTGCCGCGACGTCGCCCACCTTTTCGATCACAGCGTCTGCATGTTGCGGTTCTTCCACTGAAGCGACGGTGTCGATCTGGTTGTCGACGACAGGCTCGACCACGGGCACAGCAGCATCAACCACTACCGTAGGCGCCTCGGTCACCGCCTCGACGATCGCGTCCGGGTTGCGCAGACTGTCCATGATGCGGACCAGCGCCTGCACGGTGCGACTGAGGTCGGCTTCGGTGTGCAAGTACGAGATGAAGAAGCGCAGTCGGCACTTGCCCTCCTCGACGGCCGGGTGCACGATCGGCTTGACGTTGATCTTCTCTTCGTCGCTCAGCCGCATCGAGAGACGCACCGTCTCGACCGTCCCGCCAATGTACACGACCACCACGCACGCGCCACGGACGTTCGTGCCCACGTCGAGCTTGGCCGCCACGCACGCGTCGTAAAAGAAAGCGCTGAGTTCCTGGAGACGCACCGACCGCTGCGGCTCGTCGCCCATGAGCTGGACGGCCTTGAGCGCCGCGCCGGCGTTGGCCGGACCGAGGCCCACCGAGTAGACAAAGCCGCCCGCAGAGTACTTGAGGTAGTCGACCACGGTCTTGGTGGCGAGGATAAAGCCGCCCACAGACCCGAGCGACTTGCTCATCGTGCCCATGCGCACGTCGACGTCGGTGGTCGGCACGTCAAAGTACTCGCACATGCCCTTGCCCGTCTGGCCCATCGTGCCGAACGAGTGCGCTTCGTCCACAAACAGAATGGCCTTGTGCTGCTTCTTGAGCGCGACAAACGCCGGCAGATTCGGCACGTCGCCGTCCATCGAGTACACGCCCTCGATCACGATCAGCACGCGCCGGTACTTGTGCCGGACCGACTTGAGGATGCGCTCGGCGGCGGCCACGTCATTGTGCGGGAACGCCAGGATCGTCGCGCCACTGAGGCGCTGGCCGTTCACGCAGCTGTTGTGGTTGAGGATGTCGCACAGAATGAGGTCGCCCTTGCCGACAAGCGCCGCGATCGTCGTCACGTTGGTGACCCAGCCGCCCACAAACAGCACGGACGCCTCGGCGTCAAAGTGCTTGCACAAGGCGGCCTCGAGCTGCGTGTTGATGATGTTTTGGCCCACGATCGGCGACGAGCTCATGCCCGTGCCGTACGTATCGATGGCGTCCTTGGAGGCCTGCGCCGTCGCGGGGTGCGACGCGTACCCGAGGTAGTTGTACGTGTTGAAGTTGAGCTGCTTCTTCTTCTCGGCTGTGAGCACGTCCAAGTACGGCAGCACGAGACCGGCGTCCGTGAGCTCGCTCAGCTGACCGCGGAGGTGCTGGACCTCGGGGAAGCATTCGAAATCGTAGCACTCGGCCTTGATCTCGCCGTTCTCGTCGACGTACGAGCCTTCGGGGAGCGTCGACTCTTGCGTCTCGAGCTCGCCGGTGGCGAGACCCGGGGCATTGGCGAGCTTGGCCGGCGTATCAAACTGGAAGAAGGCCGACGGCGGCACGACGCAGCCGAGGAACTCGCCGAGCTCGGCGCTGAGACCGACAATGGCCACCGAGTCCATGCCCAGGCAGGCCCACGGTGTGTCCGGGTCGATGTCCGAAGCAGCAGGCGTCGGCGAGGCTTGACTGTCGGCATCTTCGCTCGACGTCTCGCCTTCGTTGTTTTCCTGGGCGAGGCGCTCAAGCAGCCACGCCACAATCTCTTCCGGTGTCTTGATCACCGCCGGCGTCGATGCAGCTGCGTTCTCATCCGAAGCGACCTCAGGTTCGGCCACGGGCTTGGGACGGCTCTCGATGACGCCCTTATGCATGTACTGGGCGGCGAGCGTGTTGTCTTCAAACTTGGCCTTGGTGCCACGACGCTGGATCTTGCCGCTCGTCGTCTTGGGGATACTGCGAGGACGCAAGAGGACGATCGAGGCGCAACGGAGCTGGTGTTCCGACAGCACCGACGTCGCAATGGCGTTGGCGATGGCGCGGAGCTTGTCCTGGTCCTTCTTGAGGTCCGAGCGCATCTCAGCAACGACAACGAGAGCTTCTTCTTGGTTGGACGTCTCGATCGAAAAGGCAGCGACACAGCCAGGGCGAACCTCGGCGTCAGCCAGCTCGGCCGTGTGCTCAACATCTTGGGGGCAGACGTTGCGGCCACGGACGATGATGAGATCCTTGAGACGGCCAGTGATGAACGTCTGGCCGTTGCGAAGGAAACCCATGTCACCAGAGCGCAACCAGTGCGACTTGTCGAGGATCGTCACGTCGCCAGAGCGGAGAAAGTGGCTCTTGTCCGAGCTACCCACCGACTCGCGCTTGTGCTTGGGGTCCTTGAGCGTCGCCTGGAACTGCTCTTTCGTGTACTCGTCACGGTGCCAGTAGCCCTTGGCGACGCTCGGGCCTTGGATCCAAATCTCACCGACGGCGTTGTCCTTGAGCTGCACATGCGTCTCGGGGTCGACGACAATGACGCGGAAGGTCGGCATGGGAATACCACAGCCGACAAGCGTGCACGTATCATTGGCGTTGTAGCCCTTGGCCGCAACGACCGCAGTCTTCTTCTGCTCCAGCGCGCTCTTCTTAAGGACGAGGACAGTCGGGTCCTGGAGCTTGTACGGGTCTTGGCCCGTCACAACGAGAGTCACCTCGGCGAGGCCGTAGCCGCAGTTGAACGTCTTGGGGTTGAAGCCCGCGGGCAGGAACTTGTCGGTAAACGATTCCAGCGACTCGATGCGAATGGGCTCGGCCGCACAAATGCACTGCTTGAGAGAGCGCAGGTCGAGCTTGGCGACTTGGGCCTTGGACGTCTTGCGGGCCACGAGTGCGTAGCCAAAGTTTGGGGCGCACACGTGCGTGCCCTTGTACTTGGAGACGGTACGCATCCACAGCGCAGGGTCCTTGATGAACGCCAGCGGCGACATTGAGATACACCGAGCACCTGGACAAGTGCAAAGTGAGAAAGGCCAAGTGCAAAGTGGGATCGAAGTGCATACCAGTCGAACACGGCACGAGGATGAAGCCGACGAGGCCCATGTCGTGGTACGACGGCAGCCAAGACACCATCGTGTCGTCTTCGCGGATCGACGCCCACGTCTTGAGCTGCGCGTGGATGTTGCCGTGCGAGATCATGACGGCCTTGGGCTCGGACGTCGAGCCGGACGAGTACTGGAAGAACGCAATGTCGTCAAAGGTACACTCGACCGGCGTGTAGCTGTACAAGGCCATCGTTAAACGTACTGCCATGATCCATGAAGGTTGTACCGATCAGCCATCGCCGACGAGATCGAGTCGGTCGAGAACCACTGGATGTCCTTGGGCCATGTGACCGAGCTCGAGAAGTAGCTCTTGGCGGTCGCGAGCTGGGTGGCCATGTAGTACGCGCGGTTGGTCAAGATGACCTTGGCGCCTGAATCGTCGACCATGCGGTTAAACTTGGGGAGGTCCTTGGCGAGCGTGCCCGGGTACGGCGGGTAGACGGGAATGCCGATCGCACCGGCGTAGAGGCAACCCCAAAAGCCCATGGCAAAGTCGAGGCCTGGTGGGTAGCAGAGCATGACGCGATCGCCCTTCCGGAGCGCTACAAGATGGATGCATGAGTCATCGTAGGGTACCAGTGATGATAGGTACAAGCATCTTGCTGCAAAGTGGCGGCGACACGGCGGGCGGCGCGGTCCACGTCAGCAAAGTTCATGACAACGCTTTCCTTGCCAGCGTCGTCGAGGAAGACGTACACGACCTTATCAGGCGTCTCTTGGGCCCGGCGTTTGAGAAGGTCAACGATGGACGCTTCGGCGGCAAGGCCTTCGTGCGCCTTGGTCGTGCGTGCGCGCTTGGCCTTGGGCGCTGGTGCGTCGCTGGTGGTGGCGGCTGGTATGGCTGGAAGCCCGCGCTCGACGACGTCGTCGTGCTTGCGCTTCCGCGAAGAGAGGTAGGCCGCAGTACCTAGCGCGACGGCCGCGAGGGACGTGGCGACGGCGGCGCTGGCAGTGTCGAGCATGTACGCTTGCATGCTGCTGCTGGTGCTGCTGGACTGCGTCAAGGCAAAGTGGGGTCGGCCGTATCGAATCCAGCAAGCTCGTTCATTGGCTGAAATAGACATCGCAAGTGATCTGGAAGAGAGACCGCGGTATAGTCAATCCAAGTCATCCAGTACCAAACTTGAGGCTAAACGCACGCCATTATTTCGTCGCGCGCACTAATCAGGTCTTTATGAATCCGATCTCAGCCACCTATAAACGATACGAGTTAACTATACAAAGATACATGCATAGATCTACCATGATGCGCGTCAAGTAAGCGGACATGCACAGGCGGGCGCCGGGGGCCCACGGTCTCAAGTGGCGTGTTGTTAGACGAGCAGCACGGGGTCGAAGCGAACTTTAAAGAGTGCATGGCGTTCTGGAGATTACCCGTTAAGTACGACGAAGCTTCAAGGTGCACTGTGGCCCAACGGATCTTCGTCCCTTCAACAAGGTTGCAGCGACCCAGAGTGCGACGAGCGCTGCGTCGTTCGTGGGTGCACTTGCATTCACCGTCTCGGCGGTGAGATCCCTGCATTAGGTCCACACGCGTTAAGAGTGCCTGCCTTCAAACCGCCGACTGACTGTATCGACAACGCGTGACAACGTGATTGGGTGCTCCAAACTCAACAGCATCCTTTGAGTTTCGCGAGCCTAATCACGTTGTCCCGCGTTGTCCAACCGGTTATTTTAACCGGTTTATCCAACCGAGGAACCAGGGTTGGCTAGTCGAGTATCACGGCTCAGGGGCAAGCGAAGGGGGCACTCATGCCGCGTGAGCAGGAAGCGCAATAAATGCATTGTGGAAGCGATCGGCGATAACGCACTCGGTCGAGCAGGTGTTACTGCCTCTGTAGAAGACAAGGTAACGTTACACGGATGCTACAAAAAGGACGTGGACAAAGCTGTTGCCCAGAAGCCGCCCAGCAAACCCATGCGGCCATCGGAACATGAGCTCACAGATCGCATGCCACTGGAGCTCCTATGACAAATCGCTCTTGGTCCAATCAAGGTGTTTCTAGATATATAAGAAGCCTTGGTCTACTACACGTCGAGGCCTTGGCGCTGCACGACTGCCAGTCTTGGCGTCTAAAGACGCTTGTCGAACAAACCGAAGAGGCTGCCTCGTCAGTTTGCTGTCACCAGCCCAGGTGTCCATCCTCGCGATCTTGCACAAATATATGGATTCCTCCACGTCTCACAAGCCAACAACGTCGGGTTCAATCAAAAATTCCCTCAATTCAATGCAACCGCTTCTATATACAAGGAGTCGTTAGAAAAATGCCACTGCCAACTCCTTTGTAACAACGTATCTAGCTCTTTCCTGAAGGAACTTATCTCGACCCTGTCGAGTTGACACCGGCGCGGTGACGCACCTCTTGCTCGCATATCATTTCATACAAACGCTCAGCTATTTTAAAGTTTCGTGCGCAATCTAGGTCGCCCCGCCGCCACCTGGCAGCCTCCCAGAGCTTATCCGCGGACGAAACCCGCGCCGAAAAAGACACGGCAGTCAATTCCCAAGTTGCACCGCCGCTACGAGTACTCACAGTAGGATGGTCAAGCCGACGTTGATTGTCGACACGATCAAGCTCGCGCTTGTCGCGTTCCTTACGATGCTCCTCAACATGCTGCAGCCATCGTCGTCCAAGGCGCTCGAGTCGTCCGTCGATTCGCTCTGGGCCGACGACGAGGAGAAGGTCGTGACGACGCCGTCGAGCAAGACGCGCAAGACCAAGGCGCGTCGGGCCAAGACCAAGGTCGAGAACGAAGCCATCGTGGACATCCTCAAACGCCGCGCCCTCGAGACGCCCGACAAGGTTGTCTACACCTTCCTCGACGACGCCGGGAAGGAGAGCGTCAACCTCACGTTTGCGGACGTCGACCGTGCTGCCCGCCGCGTGGCCGCCACTTTGCAGCAAGATGCAGGTATGCCTATCGATGCTTTGACAATGGTTCAAGGTGGAGCTAGGTTTGAAGAAGGGCGACCGCGTCATGCTCGCGTATCCTCCGGGCCTCGACTTTGCCATGGGCTTTTGGGGTTGCCTCTACGCTGGTGCGATCGGCATTCCCGTCTACCCGCCGTACCCGGGCACGCTCGCCAAGGACCTCCCCAAGTTTAACCGCATGGTCGACGATTCAGGCGCCAA